TAGTACCCATGGGCACACTGCACCTGCTTTTTGTTTTTTTCCTGGTACATTAGTCATATTCATTTTGGTGCAAGAACACTTGTGATTGCTCATTTGTTTGCTCAGAGTAAAATGTTAAACAAACGTTACAAGGAAATGTGAGTTCTTATCTATGTACCGTCATTATTTCCTGCTATAGAGCTGTTAAAACCTTCTACTATCGCTGGGTTAACCTTATGTAGTCAGGTCACACTGTTGTTCCTGGTACATTTGATGCTGTATTGTATTAACCTTTCTTTTCAGCATTGATTTTGGGTGCCCTCAATGCTTCTTGTCTACTGCATCTCAGTCAGATAGTGCAGAGTTGGCTATTTTGCAGTCTACCACAATCCATGCATCTCACAGTTCTAACAATGCTCTTGTGGTATGATGGATTGCAGTATTATACCTATCATTTGCATTTTACCCATCATTTGCATACAAAGTGAGGCACTTACACTGAATTTCAAACTGTGCCTTCATTTCCTCAGTATCAGTGTACCATGTTTCTCTAGTTTACTGTTATAAGAACAAAAATGAAATATAAAAATAATTACAGGAGGAATTGTGTGATGTGCATCTGTTCTGAAGGATCTTGGATAAATAAGCCCCACGTTGGGACTTTGAGCTTATTAGCTTTAAGCCAGGGGTCCAACTGTCCAACTTCATTCACCCCACCTCCCCACCATCCTCTATTTCATCTGGACCTCCCACTCCCTCCATAATCTGTAAATGTTATGTTTCTGCAAGGGAAACACAAATATATTGCTTATGCGGCCCACGGACATTTCTCAAATAGTGCATCCGGCGCCTCAGCAGCCAATAAGTTAGACCACCCTGCTCTAAGCTAACGCTGTAGTGCAGTGCTAGGGCAGAGCTCTATTGTCTGCTCAGCGAGCTCCGGCCTGCTTCACGTCCCCGGCCTCGCTCGCCCCACTATTGGTGGGCGGGTCTTCTGCCACTCTGCCCTACCCTTTGAAACTCCATCCCGCAGTCCCTTCGCCTCACCCCCTCCCTTGCCACCTTCAAGATGGATCTCAAGATCCTCCTCTTCGACCGTGATTTTGATCTCCCTGCCTCTCCCCTGCCCTCCACCCTCCCCGACCCCCAGCTCGGGTCCGAAACTCTGTCTGTCCAGCGCCTTGGGACGTCCTCCCAATGTGAAAGGTGCTTTACCAATGTCATTTTGTTGTTGTTGTTGGAGGTAATGTACTTTAGATAAGACATTCAACTGAGGTTCACTGGACGTTAAACAAATTGAGCAACTGTGAAACCACACAGCAAAGCCACGGTGGATTAGTTACTTAGTTACTTATTAGTTACTTATTATATCTGACATTCATCAAACTTATTCCTGCCGAAATCTGGACTTTAATGTTCCTGTAACAGAATAGACATTTCCATGTCTGTCAGTTCAGTCCTCCATAGAGAAGAACAGTAGATATCATTCAAACCAGTCTTTAGCATCTGTTGACACTTCCTTGGAATGGTAAATGTATTAAAGTGGATGAGGACATTCAATTACAGAATGAATCATTTTTTTCTTTTCTTGTTTAGCATTTTTCTCTGGGGCAAACAAATGAGCAAGTTTTCTTGAACACAGTGTACATTATTAATGTACCAGGAAAGGAGCAAAAATCATGTACAGTGTGCCCATGGGTACTTTTATCATAACAAATATGAATGCAGTAAATGGTATTGTGTCTATCAAGCTAATAACGTTATGCAGATATCAGCAGCAATGACTTTTGTTACGTGGAATGGTAGATGTATTAAAGAGGATGAGGATATTCAATTTCAGGATAAATCACTTTTCTTTCTTTATACCATAATGTCTTTGTGAGGTTTCACTGCATTATTTTCAGTGTCTATGTACCCATATAACAATGAAACTTCATGATAACACTGGTTGGTATCCATAAAATCACAATGGCCAATGTCATTGCACATGCGTGCAGGTGACAGGCTCCCATGCTAAAAAAAATAGTCTTCCTGGTAATCAGATTGTCGTCAAAATCAATTCCTGCTTTGCGCACTAAAGGTTAGCCCCACCCTGAATATCACTCAAATTCTGCCTGAACTTTAACTGAGGTAGGATTGAAATTTCATTTATCATTGTAAACTTCAAGAGGGATTTTCTAAATAAATTTAAAATGAGAACCAAGCTAGTTAAAAGTGAATCCAGGAAACGTAGTTACACAGCAAAGAGTGGTAAAAAGTGAATCGCACTGCCACAGAAAAGCATGGGTGCAGATTGAAATATTTAAGACAGGGTTAGAGAGGTAACTGAGAATAAGAGCATATGGAGAACAGGTGGGGAAATGAGTTAGATGATGAGCAGGCTTGATGGTCCTGTGTAGCATCCTGTTTCTGTGCACCTGCTGTTGAATCTCAGTGCATACTGTTTGAAGGGTAAATTGTCAACACTAACAAAAATTAAGTTCTTAACCCAACTGCTTCATGTACATAATATGTTGCAATCATTCATTTTACTTTTCACTAATGTATATTACTAAGTACTGAACTGTTGGTAGCTAGTGATATACAACAGTCCNAAAAAAATGCATAGTGCCAGAAGGTAGTGCAACACAGCTCTGATACAACAACAACTTGCACTTATATAGCGCCCTCCATGATAAAGGGGAGAGATGGGGCAGAGGGATTGAGGGAGATTCTTCCAGAGTGTCGGGGCATAGTGACTGAAAGCGCGACCTCTGATGGTGGTGGGGCGGAGGGTGTGAAGGACAAGCATGCCGATGCTAGTCGAGCGGATCTCAATCATGTTATTGAAATTATGTACTGAGAGATCGAATGCTTTCCTACTGTGAAAGGCAAAATCAAATGGAAAGACTTCACTAAACTGCATGTGTGTGGTTTCTGGCAGCCAACCAAAATCAGCGTTGGAAGCAGACTGGAAGCAGGTCCACTCTCTTGACCACGTGAGCTCTTACTTTAATATGACATGTGACCCTCTTGCTTGGTACATGTTTGTAATGATAAGGTAGAAATTATAACTCCAGTAAGGTGAAAGCCTTTGCTTAGAAATGCATCAAAAAGCAGAAATAGAAAATAATGCATGTTTGAACTGAAAATCTATTCGATACAAAGTTCACAAATCACTTAACATTTCTGCATACCCCATCCAACCAGAAAATTAATTACACACCAAACCAATAGCACTCTTTAGTTAACAACTCCAAAGATACTCTTCTGGGTATTATTTCCACTGCACACTCTATTTAAAGAGACAGAAGACCTTGCATTTGAATTATCCTGACAGCATTATTTTCGATAAATATATTCTGCTTTCTTAGAATCTATCCCTAGAATTTTAAATATATATGTTTTGCACTCAAACACAGCATGAATTTCACTGCATACATTGCAGTTATTGTGCAACCAGATATTACAGTGAGATTTCCTAAGAACCATATCTAATCTATAACTTATTTCTGGAAATGCAGAGAGAAGTATTATTGAAAATCTAGACGGTAGAGTTTTATTAAACTGATTTCCACATATGGTACCAGAATTTGATTTAGCTATGTATTAGATATTGCGAGTATTATCTGCGTAAACAAAGACAAAAGAGGCTTTCTGTCTCTTTAAAGGTGAAAATTTAAATGGAGAGAAAGTGAAGTCCTACAACCGATTGGTTCTGTTTACCTGCAGCATCAGTGCGGGCACACTTTGCATTAACATCTTGTTTAGTGTCGGTTATTTCTGTTGTCATGATTATATCTGCTCCACTGAAAGAAAATAAGTACAGCAATGCAGTTTGTGCACAGTGTACATAGTACGGTCGATCCTTTTGTGTCCACTTTACTGCATGACTTGCTACTTTGGCAAGAAAGCAACCTGCCTACTTACCTATTGCTGCTGATCACAATATAGTGCACATGTTTTATTATTATACTGAACTCTTCATTCATACAACGTTCCTGAGATTAAAATGAATGAACCAAGGACAATAAGCAATATGATCAATAAGATGGCAGCTTTCAGTTTGTGGAAGAGAGGGGGTTGAATTCTATACTGAGGAAATTATGTAAAAATGAACTGAATGCCTGCAGTCTTATCCTTGATCACATAGAGATAAACCCAAGAGATTAAACTGACAAGTGACTGATTCAAACAAATATTGATTGGAAAGTGAGGTACTCATTTACTGAGGTGAAAGTACTACTAGGGTAGGAATGGGAGAACCAGTCTTTGATACTAATATAGAAACGTCCAGCAGTAGCACTGAATTTTAGGCTTCAACCACAAAACTTTACCAACAAAAATATGCAGCAATCTCTCACAATCACTGTTTTCGTTTTAGGAAACATGAGAATCTGATTGCAAAACCCATGTTCCAAGAAATTTACCTCTTGAACATCACAAAGGGAGAGTCAAAAATAACTATCGGGGTACGAGAATGTGGTTTGTGATGTGATCATTGTCAAAGGTGATTAATTACCACATTATATTTTTTCGCCCCTTTAAAACACAAACTGAATTATTTGTTTCCAACCCCTCGGCAGGCTTTTAGATGACAAGATATGTCAGGAGGATCCTTTGAGAAGATGGATGGGATGGAAGGACCAATAGCCTATACTTGCCTGAAACATACTTTTGTTACTATGTTTAGCCAAGTAAGACACCTGTGCGGTATCACTAAGGAAAGACTGAATATAAAAACAGCCAAAACAGCTGTTGGGTTTTAGGATCAGGAAATTTGATAAAACTGCTTTCAGTAAAAAAATTGCAGGAGACTGATACCTGCCCCTCCCCCCCCCCCAATACAGTTGAATAAATTACTGAGTGTGACTATCAAAGTAATGCTGTGAGATCCCTTCACACCTTTGCAGACACTAGCATGAATCTTTATATAACAGAGCTCTTTTTAGCAGTAAAAAAACAGACATATTGGCATAAACACATGAAGTTATATTATGTAACATATCTTTAAAAAAAACAAATGTGTTTTTTTTCCCTACCTTCTTTCAGTGTTGTAATCTCATCTGTAGATTGTGCAACTGCAATGAAAAGAACAACAAATGGAAAGTTAATCAGCAAAAGTTATCCAGAATGGGCTATATCAATAACAACAATAACAAATTGCATTTATATAGCTCCCTTTACATGTGTTCATCGCTCAGAACACTTTACAAGAAATATGATTCATTGCACGGTAATCACAGATATTTTCTTGTGATATTTTTGAGTTTCTAAAGCAACGTCTGATGAATATTTTCAATGTTTTGTCTGTCAAAACAAGAATACATTTTAATCTGGATTTTAAATAAACAGCTGGTGGTATTTTGATTTTAATTGAAGCTCGTCAGTATTTTGTTCGGTGTTTTTCCAGTTGCAACTTTGATGTCCCCTTTTCCTGTCATGGACTATTGCTGGGTATCTACAAGTGCCGATTGCCCTCCAGGACCTTACCCAAACTCTTCATGAGAGAGGACAGACAGTGGGATCTGGCAGGTCATTCCTCTGTGGAGCTGAGCCCGGCTTGGCTCGGAATCAGGCTCTGTCACTGTTAAGCCCTCGAGACTCAACCCTGCGTGAGAGGGCGCGATGTAAGTGCAAGTTGTTGTTGTTGTTGTCGTGAGCCCAACCCTGCACTCACATAGACACCCTCTCACACTAAGGTTCCAGTAGATAATAATAATAATCTTTGCATTTGATATAGTGCCTTATCACATCTTCAAGACCTTTCAAAGCGCTTCACAGAATATACTATGAAACGCTTTGAGACATCTTGAAGACATGATAAGGGTTGGGTTCACTAGGTCACAGGATAACAGGAAGCGACTGATATTTACTCTCTATAGCCCACCCATATTTGGGTTAGTTGTTTCACAGCTACCACTGAGCTGGCTGAGCATCTGGACCTTCACAATTCCACAATGCAGGGTGATCGAAAGCACGGTCGAAGAGGAGGGTCTTGAGATGGGTCTTGAAGGAGGCGAGGGAGGGGCAAGAAGGACAGACTGCGGAATGGTGTTCAAGAGTGTGGGAGCGTGGCAGAAGGCCCGCCAGCCAATAGTGGGGCGAGCGAGGCGGGGGACATGAAGCAGGTCGGAGCACGCTGAGCGGAGGGAGCGGGCAGGTTGGTAGGCGGTTAGGAGGTCGCAGAGGTAGGGGGGAGCAAGACCATGGAGGGCTTTGAAGGTGAGAACCAGGTTTTTGAACTGTATCCTCTATGTGTTGGGAAGCCAGTGGAGTTGGGCGAGGATGGGGTTGATAGGATCACGGAGCCTGGAGCAGGAGAGGACACGGGCTGCAGAGTTCTGGATGATTTGCAACCTATGAAGGGAGGAGTTGGGGAGGCCGACAAGCAGGGAGTTTGCATAGTCAAGCCTTGATGTAATGGAAGCGTGTATGAGGGTTTCAGCAGCCTGTGGTGTGAGACAGTGCTGGAGCCGGGCGATGTTGCGGAGGTGGGGGAAGGCAGAGCGGGTCATGGCATGGATGTGGGGTAGAAAGGGTAGTTGATGATCAAACAAGATGCCAAGGTTGCGGGCTGGCTTAGTAAGGTGGAACGTGCAACCATGGACGGTCTTGCTGTCAGCACTTGAGGTGTGGAGGCGCTGACGGGAGCAGATATTATATTTGACAAGATGATTCCTCACTGTTTGTCACGGTGTAATTCATCATTGCATATTAAATCGTCAGTTGGCTGAATTGTGAAGGGTTTATGACTGAAATAACACTTGGGAATTTGCTGTCCACTTGTCTATCTGCTGTTTGTGTGGAAGCGTTGTCCTTCAGCTAAGATGTTAAACTGAGGTCCTGTCTGCCAGTTCAGGTGTCATTTGATAGATCCTATGACACTATTCCAAAAGAAAAAGGAGTTTCTCCCTATGCCATGGCCAACAATCTCCCAAATAAAATTGGTCCCTCACTCCACAGCTGTTTGTGAGACTTTGATGTGTGCAAATTGGCTACTGCGTTCGTCTCAAAATATACACAGCCACATCACTTTACAGTACATTCTGTGAGGTCTTTGAGAGCCTTGGCAACATGATAAGGCAATACATTAAATGCAAGAATTATTATTATTATTTGTTTGCTTAGAAAATGCACAGTCACTGCACTTTACAATAAATCCTGTGAAGTGTTTTGAGATGTCCTCCTGACGCGAAAGCACTATATCAAATCCACTGTGACATTAGTGGAAGTTTACATTATATTTACTTCAAGCTTGTGCTCTGAATCAGATGAATCAAATTTCAACTGCTCAAAAGCTTGTTCTTTCAGATAAATTCTGATTGGCCCACCTTGGATCCTGCCATCCTGTTAATTAAAAGACAAATGCCCTTCTGTGCATGTCTGACATCATTTTAAATGTATTGCCAAAAGATTCACAATCGCTGTTTGTTCCCTAGTATGCCAGCTATTGTTGCAGCTACAGGAACAGATAGATGAAAATGCTGCTTTTATTGCAATATTTCATATTTCCCTATAGCTTGCAAGTGTATTCATCCGATCAATGGCGATCTCATAAACAACAACTTGCATTTATATAGCACCCTTCATGCGGGGTAGTGTCCCGGAGTGATGGACAGTGACCGAGTCTGACCGAGGGGGAGAGGGAGGGGGGAGGTGACCATAAGCACGATCAAAAAGTAAGGTCTTTAGATGGGATTTGAAAGTGGGGAAGGAGGGGGCAATATGGAGGGATTGAGGGAGAGAGTTCCAGAGTTTGGGCTGAATGCACGGCCACCGATGGTGAAGCAGAAGGTGCGAGGGACAAATAGGGTAGTGGAGTGGGGGTTAACCAGATCAGAAAGGTAGGGAGGTGCGAGGGCATGAAGGGATTTGAAAATAAATGAGTGGATCTTGAAATCAATCCATTCAGTAATTGGGAGCCAGTGGAAGGAGTCGTGATAGGAGGAAAGGATGATGAAGGAGGAATGGCGTTGGGGAGGGGGGGGATGTTAGGCAACTTGGGGGGGAGGAGGAGATAGCAGGCGGATGTTATCTATTATAGAAATAAAGAAGTTCAGGACCTCTTCGTACTTAGATTCAGAAGTGAGGATCGAAAGTGCTTGAGAGAGGATGTGGAGATGGTGGTGAGTAGTGGAGAACAGGATTTGGGGGTTGTTTTTGGCCTCGAGAATGACCTATGAATAAAAAAATGGAATCCATGGGTTCACGGTGGATATGGAGAACCCTTTAACAACAGAGAACCAGGTACAGCAAAGGACCCTTTGATGGCAAAACAACAACTTGATTTCTATAGCGCCCTTCATGTAGGAAAACGCTCGGGAGTGCTTCACAACAATGGGGATTAAATGTTGAGCAAAAGCGAAGAGGAGCAAAGGGGAAGGTGACTGTAAGAAGAAGAAACAGTAAAGTTTGTAGGTTGGCAATTCCATTGGGAATTGTCATTGTCCTCTGGGAATTAGTATTCTAGCAGGCCTCAAAGTCTTGTGGGCATTTGGTCATCCAATCCCTTAATAATAATAATAATAATAATCCTTGATTTGATGTAGCAGCGCCTTATCACATTGTCAAGGCATCTCAAAGCACTTTACGGTAAAGTAGATTGACTGTGTATGTTGTCTATTGGAAATGATTGGAAATATATAATCGCTATGGTCAATGTGTCTGGTGTCTGTCTGGTGATTGAGGAGGAGAAAGACATGATATATATCTAAATTTCTCATACTCTAATGAGCTAGCTATTCATCTGAGTTGCTAACAGAAAGGAAAGGCCTTCTTCCTTTTTGCGCAGAACATCGTTTGAAATCTGTTTTAAATCTGGATACAGAGAAAAGGAACTTTGAAGTCTTTAGGTTTAAAGTCTTGATTTATTAGTCTATTCATTTATTTTCTTTTATATCCTGGCTCAGTTGATAGCCCTTGTGCATATGAATCACTTTGTGGCTTCAAGCAATAAAGTGTGTTCAAGAATTCTTAGTTTAGGCTGACACTCCCCGGGTGTAGTGCTGGGGGAGTGACACATTGTCAGAAGTTCCATGCTTCAGATGAAATGTTAAACTGAAGTTGCTGAAGTCTGCCTTCACGGCTGTTTGTGGGACATTGCTACATTGAAATTGGCTGTCACTTTTATCTACAAAATACACATTCACTACATATTACAGTAAATCCTGCAAAGCTGTTTGAGACGTTATAACTGCAGTATATGATAAATCACTACATGAAATGCAAGGAGTATTATTTGTACCAAATACTGTGTCTTTGTTACAGGATGCTCCAGCGTAATTTTGCATATCGTACATTTAGTTGTATTTGTATCATCTTATCAAATACATTAGCATGTGCATTGAAAAGTGGAGTACTTAAATAAATTGCTTAACTGTTCACACAACCGTACCGTACAATGATTTATGAATTCTGGGTGGCGAATGACCTTACAGTCTCGCTTTATAACAGAGAAAGCTTTGGTTCCCTATGCTTAGGAAAATCATTTCTTGATATTCATTACAGTTACAGCAGCACAGTCGCTTTGTATCACATTAATCTTAAGATACCTCTGCGAATGAGCTGGAACGACAGCAGAACAAAATGAGGTGCTTAAAGGTGATTCTGACTGGAATAGCAAAACTGTTCAACAAACCAGTGAAAAAGAATGTTCAATCCATCAAATGTAGAACTGCGCCAGGAATCAGGAACAAATGTGAATCTGACAACAGGGGAGAGCGATATGAGCACATGACAAATATTACAAAGCAGAGTATCGAATGCCCAGGCTTTATTGTTTCCATGTAGGTTTACCTCAGGCTGCCAGGTCATTTAAGCTTAAATTAAGTAACTGGAACGCACTGCATCACAAGCAAAAGTTTATGNTTTTTTGCAGTAATTATGACATTAATATGATTCCAAAAATGAGTTCTGGGAAAGCAGGAGGCAGCTTTGCTGGTTATAGATTATGATTTCAACCTGAAATTTTGCTTAGGCTTTACTTTCTTGTTCTAGTCTGACTGCTCAAATTAAGGAAACCGGAACCATCTTAAACTGCATTAATTTGGGGGGAAAATGATCACACCCTTTTCTAGAG